TCCAGAATCACATGATCTAGTCACATGCCATTGCATACTTCAATGAGTCATAGCAGGGGCCGTTATCCTTATTCTGGCTAGAATGTTCACAGGAAAGTCCATCAGGTGGGGATACCCTTCTTCCATGGCCCAGGGCCGCCCAGAGGATTCAGAAGGCCTGGGGCAAAGCGGGGGAGCTTGTATTCACCGGGCGGCGCTCCGAGTCTTCAGCGGCGGGTCCTTCACTGGCTCTGGGTCTTCCGCGGCACTGAAGGACCTCCCACCGCCGAAGTGCCGCCGAAGTCCCGGAGCGAGGTGAAGGACCCCCCGGCTGCCGAAGTGCCGCCGAAGTCCCGGAGCGAGGTGAAGGACCCCCGCCGCCAAAGTGCCGCAGCACTGGTAGGTGACTAAAAATTAAAAAGGCGCCTCTAGCCAGGAAAGGGATTCTCGGCCAGGGCTCGCGGGGTCCATGTGGAGCCCGGGGCCTGGGGCAAATTGCCCCACTTGCCCCCCTCCCCCGGGTGGCCTTGTCATGGCCTTGTCATGTGTTTCTTAATGGGCCATTACCTTGAATGGTTCATCCACAATGTGCTGGTTAGACTGGATGTAAACTACCTTGTGGGTGTTACCCAGGAGCAAGCACATTTGAAGTATGGGTACATAGTATCCTATTCAGCAAACCATAACTTTTCCTTTGACATTTAACATGACATACTTCATATAAAACGTATCAATCATATTGCCATGGTAAATATGGGGGTGCCAGGGTGTTGCTTTGGGGGTACAGAATGTCACAGTGTTCCAGTGTAGGTGTGCTTGCATCCCTGCGCTGCTGATTGGAGAACTTCGGTAGCAGTATCCATTAGGCTTGTGCTGTCTCGTGCTGCTCCATGAGGCTAGCCAGCCTGCGCAGGCTAACCCACCTCAGTTCCTTCTCAAGCGCCCCAGGCTAGAGACAGAGCCGTTAGCAGTCCGTTAAGACTATTGTTTCTTATTTTACATGCCTACAGTTAATTAGTCTCCTACTTAAGAACATAACATAAGAATGGCCGTACCGGGTCAGACCAAAGGTCCATCTAGCCCAGTATCCTGTCTACCGACAGTGGCCAATGCCAGGTGCCCTAGAGAGAGTGGACCAACAGGCAATGATCAAGTGATCTCTCTCCTGCCATCCATCTCCATCCTCTGACAGACAGAGGCTAGGGACACCATTCCTTACCCATCCTGGCTAATAGCCATTAATGGACTTAACCACCATGAATTTATCCAGTTCTCTTTTAAACGCTGTTATAGTCCTAGCCTTCACAACCTCCTCAGGTAAGGAGTTCCACCAGTTGACTGTGCGCTGCGTGAAGAAGAACTTTCTTTTATTTGTTTTAAACCTGCTGCCCATTAATTTCATTTGGTGACCCCTAGTTCTTGTATTATGGGAATAAGTAAATAACTTTTCCTTATCCACTTTCTCCACATCACTCATGATTTTATATACCTCTATCATATCCCCCCTTAGTCTCCTCTTTTCCAAGCTGAAGAGTTCTAGCCTCTTTAATCTCTCCTGATATGTGACTCGTTCCAAACCCCTAATAATTTTAGTTGCCCTTTTCTGAACCTTTTCTAGTGCCAGTATATCTTTTTTTAGATGAGGAGATCACATCTGTATGCAGTATTCGAGATGTGGGCATACCATCAATTTATATAAGGGCAATAATATATTCTCAGTCTTATTCTCTATCCCCTTTTCAATGATCCCTAACATCCTGTTTGCTTTTTTGACTGCTGCTGCACACTGTGTGGACATCTTCAGAGAACTATCCATGATGACTCCAAGATCTTTTTCCTGATTCGCTTTAGCTAAATTAGCCCCCATCATATTGTATGTATAGTTGGGGTTATTTTTTCCAATGTGCATTACTTTACATTTATCCACATTAAATTTCATTTGCCATTTTGTTGCCCAATCACTTAGTTTTGTGAGATCTTTTTGAAGTTCTTCACAGTCTGCTTTGGTCTTAACTATCTTGAGCAGTTTAGTATCATCTGCAAACTTTGCCACCTCACTGTTTACCCCTTATAGTTATACTATACTTATAGTTTTAGTTATAGTTTTCCCCTTTCTTATTTACCCTAAAAAAAACAAAAGAGAGAAAAAGAGACTTTATTTTCTTTCCTCCCTTTTTACCTGCTGGGGACCCTTCCCTCCCCAACAAGGTATGCCCAGTTCACCAGGCTTCAAGAAGTGCCGCACCAAGAATATAACAGGGTTCAAAAAAGAACTAGATAAATTCATGGAGGATAGGTCCATCACTGGCTATTAGCCAGGATGGGCAGGGATAGTATCCCTAGCCTCTGTTTGCCAGAAGCTGGGAATGGCGACAGGGGATGGATCACTTGATGATTACCTGTTCCATTCATTCCCTCTGGGGCACCTGGCATTGGCCACAGAAGACAGGATACTGGGCTAATTGGATCTTTGTTCTGACCCAGTATGGCCATTCTTATGCACCTGTAAAGAGGCGATCCCAATTGCGGATAACCACTCTCACTGGCTCTGGGAAGGCCACATACAACAGAAGTGTGCTCTTTGCCAACAACTCCAGCCAAAATCGCACAAAGACAGAGAACTCCGCCAGAAGATCATTTTCATGGAGGCAGCTCTCTGGACATAAGTCTTCCCCACAGCCTTCTAAATCTTAGGGATGTGGATTGAAGAAACAGGCTCTGGACCCCTCTCACAAATCATCTAAGAGAGAGGAAGAGGTCCCCTCAGTGAGCCCAAAAATAGCCATAAGCGATCACCATCTTGCTCAGTATCTTCAGCACTCAGACCATCTCAGTCTGGCACCCATGCCTCATGAAGACCGATGGCAACTGGTATCGCTGACAGGCCCATGGACCTGATGGGCACGGGCACCAGGTCATGGGTACCAAAGGACAAGAGTAAGCACTCTAAAAAGATGCTCCTTGTATGCGAGTCTGCTTCTGAGCTGCCAGCGACAGCTCACCTGGCACCAGAAAGACCAGTGTGGATAAGGCCTCCTTCCCCCACGGCATCACCATTGATGCCAGGATGATCAGTACTGGCAGAATCCCACCATTCCAGCGACCTCCACATGCTGGATCCACCCGAGTCCCCACCCCTTGGTACTGAGACTCTACCAAGCATGGGAAGTATCCCCGCTGCCATGCTATGTCCCTCTGCTCTCTAGAGAGGGTTCAGACAGTGAGCCCAATACCCACAGATGGCCCCATCACCAACATCTTGGTACAGCCACTCATGGGCATCACCACCAGGCTGTATGCCACCCCAATGGCGATACTGGGACTCTCTCAAGCTTCAAGCTTTGCCTGAGAATCCTCTCAGTATGCTCTCTCAGCTGCAGCATCCAGGGCTTCGGAACCGCCTCAAGACATAGAGGAACAGGAAGCCAATACTGAGGAGGAAGTGACACCAAGGACCATATCCTCCTCTTCTCCAGACAAAGCCATCATGCCTCCCCCACCATCTTTGGGCAGATCACTTTCATCTCGTCCAGGAGCTGCCAAAGAGGGTGGCAGACACCCTTCTGATACCACTGGAGGAAGTTAAGGACACCCACCATCAGCATTTTGACATCCAGTCTTCCTGTTCCAATGTTGGAATGATCATCGATAAGGGGACCATCTTGAATTTTTGAGCCTTGACAAACTTGATAAGTCCTAAAGATTGTTCGAACCAGGGAATCCATTCATTTTACCTCCCTACCCACACCACAACACTCTTCCCCTTCCCTCTTCAGGGATCCTTCTCACAAGAATTTGCTATGACAAGAGATAGATTGCCTCTTCCAGTTAGGAGCTATAGAACCAGTTCCTCAACATCTATGAGGCAAGGGTTCTACTCTCGTCATTTCCTAATACCCAAAAGGAAGAGAGGTTGGAGACCCATACTAGACCTCAGAGCTCTCAACAAGTTTGTCAAGGCTCAAAAATTCAAGATGGTCAGCTTATTGATGATCATTCCAGCACTGGAACAGGGAGACTGGTTTTTGACCCTCGACCTCCAGGATGCCTATTTTCACATCTCGATCATACCTGCTCATACACCATTTCTCAGATTCACTCTGGGACACGACCACTAACAATACAGAGTGCTCCTGTTCGGGCTATCGTTGGCCCTGAGAGTATTTTCCAAGGTTCTCTCAGTGGTAGCCACTCATTTATGCTCTCAAGGGATAATGATCTGCTAGACAGGAAGGAAGGAAGGAAGGACTGCCAGAAACAATGCACATTTTTTGAAGCCGTGCTTCTTCACTTTGACCTCTGTCGTGATCAGTAAGTTAACTATGTTGTTTTAATGTTTAATTTAATTTTTTTACTAAGTGTAACTATACTAACTAATACAACACTGCAACTAACATTTATTTATTTATTCTTAGACGATTGCACTAATTACGGAGACAAACAGCTCTAAGGTAGCCTAATGTTGTGGCAGTTGGAAGGAACTGAGGTGGTAATGGTGCCAATGATCTTCCTTTAGCCACACCTCCCTAACTGCTGCCACAGGATCTGGGGATGGGAGGGGCAAGGCACTTCTAACAGGCATTACTACAGAAGGTTTCACTGTCCTAGTTGCACCACGTCAGCGCATCCCGAGACTGACTGTGCAGGGGGCACTCGCAGAAGAACTGATACTATATAGTACCGATCAAGGACAGTGACAGAGATAGGGCTTATCACTATCTACATTGGAAACTCAGATGTTGTCAGAAGGGGGCTGAGTTATAGCCTGTGTTAGAGCATGTTTTTTTAAAACTTGTTTTAAAAACAGATCTGCCCAGTTCACCTGACCAGACAAACCAAATCAGAATTAAACTGTATTTAAAATCAGTTCTGCTAGTGCTGTTTATTACCAGTGTAACAAAACATCCATTTAATGTAGTATCTTGAATTAACATTTGTGTCCCCATACCAAATATTTCCGCTCAAAAAAATATAAGTCAAGAGAGATGATTTAGTTTAATTTTGTTTAAAACTTATTGCAGGAGGAAACCTCACTGGAGCAATATTTAACCCAGCATTGGCCTTTTCATTACATGCAAGTTGTTTCCATGACAAATTCTGGGATTATTCACTAGTGTATTGGATGGCACCTTCCTTAGGTAAGTGCCTTTATGCTTTTTTGCCCTTGAAAAAACATATTGTAACAACACGTGATTCAGGGAAAGAAATCAATGTCCTTTATTTTCACAATCTACTAGTTTTTCATTTCAAATTGAATCCAAAAAGCTACATTAATGCAATGTTAAGGTTAGAACTTGATTCAAGTCAGAACATTCAAAGTTATGGTTCCCAGAGGAATCATAATTTGTCCTTCTTGCATATATAGAGTGAGTTTTTAATCTTATGCCATGTGGAAGTAGTACATATGACTTAGGTGGATGAGATTGTATCTTTCATTGAACCAGCTTCTGATGGTGCAAGAGACAAGCATGAGCTCTGTGTCAGCTTGAAAGTTTGTCTCTTGCACCAACAGAAGTTGGTCCAATAAAAGATATTATCTTACACATCATCTGACATACATATGATTTAGTAAGGTTTGCTGTAGGGAACATAACTTTGAATTGTCTGACTGAGATTTATATCTCAGCCTTACTGCCATATTAACTTAGCTGTTGGAATTATTATTATTTTGGGGATTCTTTTCTTTCTTATAAGAAGTGAGGTATCATTTTCTTTGACTATGTGATCATTAATTTACACATGTAAAGTCTGTATGCTTGCAGGGTGCTTTGAAAGGAATAACGGCAAAATTCCAAATTGGTGTGCAATACAGGCAGATCCATTTTAACTGGTCAATTTTAAACTGACACACCTTATCTACTTTGCTCTGCCAGAATGATATTCCAATCTGATATAGCTGTCTTTCATTTGGCCCTGGTGCCTCAGTTTTAAAATTCTGGTTGTTTGAGATGTGCAACAAACTGTAGGGCTGTACAGGTTCTAGCAAAATATCAGCCACATGTGCTGGGTTCTGGCAGATCCTAAAAGGGAGGGTGAGCTGTGAAAGTGAAAAATAGCCTGAGAGAATTTGAAAATGGACAGAAATTGGTCAGCTTGTATCCATCTAGTTAGATTCTGTACTGCTTAATTGCAACACACACAAAAACTAAGAAATCTGGATTTTTCTTCAGTATTGGGCTAATTGCTCAAAATAAGAACAGGAGAACACCCAGTGTGTTATTAGTGTGAAAATGTACTTTTTCCTCCTCCTTATTAAAGTCCAGACTTGGCAGCTTCCACTCCATGAAATCTAAACATGCCCTACTTTGGTGATGTCACAGCTGTCATGGAACCCCACTGGAGGCTAGAACTGGCCTGTAGTGGTAAGATGTCATTTTTAAGTACAAAATGAGGATATTAAAAAAGCAACTTAGCAACATCGCACAAGACAGTACCTCATTTTAAAAAAGCTCTGTTAACGTACTCTACTTCTACATGTCAGTCCTCGCCTCCCCCACGGATCCAATGTGACATGACTAGCTTTGAAAAGAAGCTGGCATGTCAAAGTATGGAAAACTGGAAAAGGATGTGTGTGGAGGCAGAGTAAACGAAGTCAGTGTGCTGAATGCTCCTAAGCCTTGTAACTTGGATCAGTTGGCACATAACTTCAAAGCTTTTGGATTATTGTTGTATTTTCAAGTCAGTTAAACTACATATGCTCTGTTTGGCTTTTAAAAGTAGATTTTTTCCACACAATCTGTGTCTGTTTAGAGTAATCTATTCTTAGGGTAAGAAATCTGACAGAGAAGAATTAATTAATGCTGTGATCTTGTACAGGTTCTGCAAGATTTCTCTTTGCAGGAAACCAGGGCGGCTGTGATTCTTTGCCAGGCACTAAATTTGCATGTCCCTTTCTACAAGGAATTGCCTTTTTTTTTTAAGCAGTCTCCACTGTTCTTTAGACTCACAAACATATTTTAAAATCTCTTTTACTGTACATAGAACCTGGACTTACGTTCCTCAAATGTATTTACTTAACTGCCTTTTTGTATTTTGTCCCATCAGGTTCAGTACTTGTGGCCATTGTGTGGGGTGAAATCCTTCCTCTGATATTCTGAGATATTTTAAAATGGTGAACTCTAGAACTACATGTGTTAAAAAGAGACTCTTAAAAACTGAACTGAATTGCAGCAACACAGTACATAGAGGGAAGACACCTGGATACACTGATTTCCTTACAGGCTTTCCAGATGATTTTGTTTTGAAATACAGTCAGAACTTTACAGTAGAACTTAATTACAGTAACAAATTGGTATGGTGAGAACAAGATTGGAAGTGTTTATCACATATTTCTCAGTTAAGCCATGTATATGAGGAAAAACACTATTGCAAAATTAACTTGCCCCTTTAAATTTAATCCAAAATGCCATTCATTGACCTTTCTTTCAAACCTATATACAATGTCAATTGTAGAGAGAGAGACAAAAGTTACCTAACCTCTTCAGATATCTGCCACTACTGGTGGGGCATGTGGCCCCAAAGGATGCTACTCGCTAGAAAAATTCCAAAGCTCAACACGAGAGGCACCATTTCCCACAAGTGTGAACATGCAGAGGTGACACTCTCAAAAAAGACGAGTTACTGATAAGTACTAACCCACCTTTTCCTCTTGTGAGGAATCTGCCTCCTGCCACCTTGCTATCGTTTATTGGCTCATTAGGGCCCAATCCTACATGATAGTAAAAGTTGCAGAATCAGGCCCATACTTCAATTATTTTTGTCCACTCTTTTTCTGAGTACTAAGTAATTAATTCTTGGTCCTGATTGACAGCAGCTCATTTTCTATTGTTAACTTTGCCTAAGACTACTCAGTATTACGAGCACAAGGAGTCTGATAGGAGAGTTAATCAATACAATCAGACAACATACTCTGAATACTATTCAGAGAGCTTGAATCATTTGTGACTCCACTATGTCTCTTTAAGGGCTCTCAATGGGCATGTTTAGGCTTTAGTACTTTTCTTTGACATGGAGCAGTACTCTGCCATACAAAAAATACCAGCAGAGCAGAAAACTTACTCCTGCTGTCCACCAGGCCAAACTGGTCCGAGTACACCTTTGCTTGTGGTGACGACCACTCACAGGTTGTGAGCATTCCACGGTACTGTTTGCATTGTCATATGACATTTTTCTCTGTTTTTATAATATAATTAACATAGAAAATGCTTTGCCCCCTCTCATCTGGGCAAAAACATAATTTTGTTTAAAATTTTATGTAGAGGGGCTGGTTGTATTTTTCCATTTATGTTTAGCAGGTTTGAAAGGGGATAAAGTTAACAAGTTTTATACATAACAGATACTGAAGCACAGGACTCTCACAAAGCAGTCAGGAGATTTTGCACAATTAGATTCTGGTATAAAACAGTAACCTCACCCAGACTTTAAAAAGCCATAAGGTGAATATTTTATGGATACCACTAGGTATTTTGCCTAGGGCCAGTCTGGTTAATTTTCAGAGCAAGTAGTACTGCCACAGATAAGCACATTTTGCCTTTTTTGTTTTAAATAGCTGTGCATATGTAAGATGTTACAAATGGCCTTCTAGTCTCTTGGCTGTTAGCCTCATCTCAGCTAAATTTCCTCTCAATTTAAGATGAGGAGTGGGCTTACTTCAGAGCCAATCCAAGTATTGCTGTGTTAGTAAGATATAAAACTGAAAAACAAATGTCACCTCTTCAACATACTTAGTCTGCCATAGTCCAGATCTGCAAATGTTGCAAATCCCTGCTCTTTCTCCCAGCACACAATAGAATGCATTTAGGAACAGCCAGAGAGACACTTGAAATTATTTTGATTTGACACGTTGCTGTTAGGGATTTCCAGACTCTTTAAGATGACTGACAAAAAGAGATGACTCACCACTAATTCATTTAAAATCTTAAACAAAAAAATAGTGAGACCTGCAAAACTGAACTCTGAGCTGTAACCTAGACTCAAGATTAGAGTTTAGCAAATTATCAGTGTTGACCTAATAATATTGGTCTGTTTACAGATTTGATGCTGCCCAGTTATTTTTCTTGTAAGCTTTTAAATCTGTCCTTTGGTAAAGTGAAATTGCTACTCAGTACAGTCTTATATAAACAAAATCTGTTAACACCAAGATTACTTAAGGGATGATGCGTCAAATTGCCCACAAAGCAAAAAAAAAAATTCATCAATATTTCAGAAATATAAAGCTATGGATGAATCAAATCTGCCTTTTAAACATTGAAATATAAATTCCTGGCCTTGATTACGCTGCAGCCCTCCTTTTGCTGTAGGAACAGATCAGACTGTTTTTGCACTATAAAAATACTTGGTATTGAATGAATTAAGCCTTACTGAACAGATATTTTTCTTACTCTTATTTTTACAAGTGTTCTGGAGGTAAATTATATATTGTTAATGCTTCAGATAATGTGTTTTAAATCTAGTGTTTTGTTCTCAATAAAATCTTTGCTTGTATATTTTTCCTTGCATTTTAGATACTCACTATGAGATGAAAGGACTACTAACCCAATTGCCCAAACTTTCATACTATAGGACCCCAGCACACAAACATTCACTGCTGTATTTCTGTATTCAGTAACTTAAACAAAAAACGTAGCTTGCCATGTGCCAGTGTTGGGAGAGCTTCTAAGACCTTGTCCACTCGGTTCTCAGCTTGACTCCAAACTCACCCCCGAGGTTTATTTATTAGCATAAAATCAAACTACACTTGAGTTGATCAGGCTCCAGGATAGAGGGTGGCTATAGTGCATACCTTTTTCTTTATATATATTTACACATTACATTGAATTTACTACATTCCACTGCTTTTGTTTTTCTTTTATATTAGCATGTTTTATTTGTATTATATTCCTGGCTTTCTGTGCTTTCTTTTTTAAGTTTGTTACCTAGCAACACATTCCCAAGACTACAGTAGTTGTAATCAGTTAAACCACTACTAATACTAGGCTCAATGTACAAATGGGGGGAGGAAAGGGAGCGGCTGGAGGGTGGAAACTCACCCTCTATGGGATAGGCTACCAGGGTGTAATCCCACCTTAGCTTGTTCTCCCTTTAAAGCATGCTTCTGTAATTTTAACTTTACTTTTATTTTAATTACATTATAAAAACCTGGTACAAACTATTTTTTTTTCCATTTAGTACCATAGGAAATTGAGTTGTGAAACAGAACATAGGCCAGTTAAAATAACATCCCCTGGGGTCATAGCAGAAGTGGTCCTTTTCAGCCATCACACTTATCAGCACAGGCTGTTTTTACTTTACCAATGTCCCAGCATCTCAACCGTACTGTGCAATTTGGAGACTGTTCCCCCACAGTGAACCCACATGCTGGCGACTCTGTATTACACCTGCACGTCAGTATCCCTCAGGTGCAAATAGCAGTACAGATCAATGGCTTTCCAGACCTTGCATTGCTGTGCAACAGTATTTGAGGAGGGAAAAACTTCCACACCCTATGGATTGCAGTGGTTTCACATTTAATTTCATGGTATTTGACACGTGTTAATTCTCTTATCCTGCACCAACTGCAGGGATAAAATGTAGAAAGGATCTTCCCCCAGAGGTTGCTATTGGTTGGACACAATGCCATACAACACTTCTTCCCCCTCTGTAACTAATGTGGCTCTAGGTGCAGAAAAACTGATGGATAGTTCCTGAAATGTTGGTGTTGCTGCTCTCCGTACTAAAGAAAAATTGAAGACACTACGAAAACACTCTGCTATGATCTGTTACAGTGGGCTTCTAGCAGGACTGGATTGGAGTTTATTCTCAGGTTTCTCTTCGCTAAATTAACATGGGTAGTATTTTCATACCCATCAGGGAGATTCACTCTGCTAGCCCGAGTCTTATCTTTCTGAAGATTGCCCAGAGCTCATTTCAGGCGTTAAAGGACAATTGTACCCACTTTCCTACTTGTGGTCACCACATTTAAAAAGTGGGAGGGAGCAAGAATGGTGGAAGGCTATCAAAGTCCATGCTGGTAACTCCTCTTCCCCAGCTCTTAAAGGTTTAGTTAGAAATGAATACAAGCTGTGTTTCTTATTCTAACAAACTCTCTTCTCTGCCATTATCATTAGATAGCTATTCAATTACACTGCTGCTGTCCCTGTTCTGTAGCTAAAAAGGTAATAGTTTTCAACTACTGTACAATGTGATAACATTTAGAGACTAAATTCTCAGCATCAATGGTTGCAGCTCCATTGTCTTTATGATCATGGCCATTGCCTTTTTCCTGTTGGCCAGTAGGTGGCAGCCACAGTATCAGAATTCCTAATTTCTATTTGCAACTATGTCACTGATCTAAGGCAATTCACCCAACCTCCTGGTGCCTCAATTTCTCCATCTCTAAAACATGTATAACAAACTTGCCTACCAGGTGGAGTGCTGTGAAAAAGTTTAACAGACGACTTAAAAATAAATCTAAAATATCCCCCCTCGCTCCCCAGGATTGTATTAAAAAAAGCTGATCATGGACAGATTTGACATTCATGTCACAGTCCCAGTGGAAAATAGAATAGAAAAGAGGGAAGTGGCTACACTTGCGGTTAAACTGTGTTCAACACTGGTTCAGCTGCACCTGTTGTCAGCAGCTGGTAAATTTCATTGCGAAAACACAATGATTGGAGGTGAACAAAGACAAATAGGGGATGGTTACATCATAGGAACAGAAGACTAAATTTACTTGCCAGAATCTTCCTTCCCTTTTTTGAAGTCTGGTACCCTATCTCCTTTTCTCCAGTCTTCTGTGCCTTTCCAATTCTCCGTGACTTATCAAATAATTCTCAGTTTCAAAAGCATATTAGCCCATTTCCTTAACAGCCTATGATGCATATAAAATCTGATTTATGAGTGTTCCCAATTTCCAGATACTTGCTTATGATCTTTACTATTTTCCAACTGTGCCATCATTTTTATCTGACCAGGCTGTAAAAGATGCATCAATAATTTTAAAATAATCTTCAAAGCTTCTTGTAGTACATGGCACATTGTTTATAATATTGTTAGTAGACCATTAATTTTACTGAAATAAGAATGCTCTACAAAGGGCAGCTATAACTAATGTTATGTACACTGTAGCAGTGATTATGCCACCTGGTATCTTCTGGTATTCCACAGTAAGCAAGTCATCCAGAGAGGGAAGAACCAGTTTAAAGAAAAATTCTCCTCAATACTGTATATGAAATAATTATAAGTGGCATAAATTCTAACCAGAAATTTAAGAGGGAAATGGTTGTGATTGAAGCAGGTTCTCAGGTTGACTTCAGAAGAACAGATGGGTCTCAACCAGTTGCTCCAGGGACCTGAACTGACCTGCCTGCACTGCCGGGGAGGGATGCATGACTGTTCTTGCAGCTTCCCTTCGCTTCCCATCAGAAGCCGTTTTTCTGCGGGGAACATGAATTCTGTGCATGTGCAGTGGCGCAGAATTCGCCCAGGAGTAGAATTTGGAGAGGAGAGTTTATCTGGCAGAAAACTGTAACAAATCAGAGTGCACGATAGAGTGGGATGAAAGGCAGCTTCAGCAGATCTGTTCAATGTTCTTGGCAACCAGAATCTCCTAAACCCAGGATAAGTCATGGTGAAGGTAGCTCTACCCTTAGTACAGTGCATCTATACTGGGGGGTTGCATCAGTGTTGTTACAATAGTGCAAAAATCCCATATGTAGACAAGACTTAAAATGGGTTCCAAGAAAACATCTCCTTTAAGGGATGCACTTAATTAATACCCCTCCCACCCCCATCCCTCCCAAAAAACACAAATGAGAACTGCCCAAGAAGAGCCCTGAGCAACTAAATGAATCTTCCAAAGAAAATGATTGAAGGCTGCAACACAAGCCTGGATTGTGAGATACAAAAGTCTAAGTTTATTAAACAATTTTGTTAATGTTTATTACAAAGACACAAAACAAGTCTCATCTGTGGGACTTCACTCTAGCCTCTCCCCTACCCAAACTCTGTCAGTAAAAAAATGACAGACAAAAGACCTGAATAGATAAAGCTAGTTACTTGGAGGGCTAAACATTTAGTTAGTTTTGTTTTGCATCCTCAGCTGACCTTATTTTTCTTTACTAAACTCCTGTTTCTATCAGACATGGCTGATTCAGGGGATAAACAGATATAAAAATATGGACAAATTCTAGGACAACCTAGAATTCTGTTCTAATTACAATTTTGTTTCTTAATTCCTAGAATTCCTAAAAAGGCTTCCTAGAAACGAGCCATGATTAGCTCCATTCAAGCATTAGATAAGAGGTGTTATTGTTTTTATCTTTTAAATAAAAACCCCACGGTGGTCACAAAAATGTCAAACTCTGTTTTAAGCACATCTATAAAAGCATTTACAGACGTAGATGTCCATGCTTAGGTCATTAATAGAGAAGTTATTAAAGAGGTTAATTCCCAATAGTCACTGCAATGCCTTCAGTTTTACAGCTTATTCTGGAAGTGCCACAAGAGGAATCTGAAAGATACAAGACACAGGTTTACACAATTGGCGTTAATGAATTTATTAATCTTTACAAAGAAGTCTCTGAACAGCTGCTAGCAACAGCAGGGGATAACTATTCACTCAACACATCCCGGCCTGATTTGCAGAAGGGTTGGGCACCTGCAGCTCACACAGACTTCAGTGGGAGTTCTGAGTGATCAGCTGGTCTGAAAAAATCAGGCCCTATATGCTTACTACCGCTTTAAAAATCAACATCACCAAAGGTGTGTATGGGAAGGGAACAACAACTGCCAGTTTAATATATACAAAATTGTTTGAACAAAATGTGAACTTTTGTAAGTGGCATAAATAAAAAAGTGCTCGACAAGACTAAGTACCAATTTCACACTTTTATCATCAACACGTCTCCAAGAGCTTCGTCAGGCAATTGTCACATCTCATTTGTGTAATGAACAGGGACATGCGACATTAGTGTCACTTCAGAGGCATGGTGGTTCATTGCTTTCTCAAGGATCACTGGGACGTGATGTTCCTGCAGATTGTTTGTTCAGTCTGCTTGCAATGTTAATGAAACTAAAAAGAATTAAATCTAAAATGATTTGCTCCATAGCGTTCTATGAAAATCTCAATAAACTTCCTCTATTACAGTAACCCACATGCCACAAACTTGTTAGCATGGTGATTAGCAGAGACAAAGAGCTCTTTGTTCTTCCCATGGATTCTGTGATTACTTGAGAGTTACTTTATAATTTCTTGTGTTTTGAACTTGGTTAAAATTACATCAGCAAACCAACCGGGTGACCCATTCATTACAGGGCTTTTCATACCCAAAGCTCTCAACTGCTTTATGAAGTGACGTAATACTTAGCACTACATACACAGATCACTTTATCCACCACTGATCTAGAGCTGCTGATTAACTGCACAGCAACAGAGTTTAGGACAGGAAGCAAAGAATAGCGTAACCAATTAACTCTGGCAACACAATGTTCTGTAACATACTGGGGCATGTACTCAGGAAGAGTACCGCCAACTGAAGATATTGTAACAATGTGCTTTGCCAGCAAAAGAATTACCAATACACAAGGCGTCTCATTTTAGGTTTTAACTGATAAACATCAATAAAACATCTGGATACAAAAAAATTAAATCAGTGTTTATCCAACAAAGACCAGAAGGTTACCCAATCTGTGTTGACTTCACCCCCTTCCCAGTGCAGTTTGTTTATACAGTCCCTACTCCCTGTCTTATACCTAAGGGCTAGTCTTCACAGAGCAGTAATGCAGACTGTCTGTCTGTGTGTGTGTGTGTGTGTGTGTGTGTGTGTGTGTGTGTTCACAGAGCAGTAATGCAGACTATGGGTGTGTGTGTGTGTGTGTGTGTGTGTGTGAGATTTCTAAAGCACTGTATTGCACATTAATTGGTCCACGTAAACTAAAAGCTCCCTAGGGCACTTTCACGTAATATTGTTTCAAATAGCACTATGGGAGTATACAAAGGGAAAGCCCTGACACCGTCCCCCCACCCGATTTTTGGTCATCTAAACAGAACTTTACCACACACCCCTCCCCCACACAAAAAACCCCAACACACACCAACCCATAAGCCCTACAATACCACTTCCTAGGCGCCCTTAGATGCCTCCAATTCTACTGCTAACCCAGCCTGACCCAGCTCAGTTTACAATGTGACCATTTGGTGGTAATGTTACTACAGAAAGTAGCATGGTTGCAGTGATATTTCCACAAAGGAAACCTGTCTTTAGATTCTTAATCCATGGACTGATAGCCCTTGGAGGGAAAACACAGCTCTAAGAACACCATCTTTATGGTAACAAGAGCGGACCTCTTCAAGGTGTAGATTCCCTGGGTATCCCTGATACAGAGCGAGGAATCTGGACATAAATGGAAGAGTAACTAGAATCTTGATTGTACCCGTAATAGTTCCTCTTTGAACCACTCAGTGCTTCAGGATGGTGGCAGGGCCCGGTTACATACCTCTGAGTGGCAAAGAGTAAGGGAGGCAGAGCCCGAGTCCCTACAGCAAAGGAGAAGGAGAATGAAAACTTACTTGAGGGCCAAACCTCCCAGGATCAGTATGTGACCAGGGGGACATTCAAAAGCCCCCAGATAGTAGGAAGTGCTGATTCAGATGTGCAAGGAGCAGCACACAGGAAGAATGAGTAGTGCGGGGAGAAGAGGGTGGGAAAGTCACACATGTACTGACTCTCCCCACACCAGCACCCCATAGTGATTCCCAGCCTCCTCTCGGGACAGCTGCCTGCCTGCCTCCTACACTTGCTAACAATTATTTTTGATTCATTTTCACGTGTCCTTTTTCAGCCACTAACTTTCTATTACTTTGTTGTTCCCCTCCTTTTCCCCCACTCCCCACAGGGTGACACGTTGCTTGGAGTGACGTTGTCTAATGGTGGCTTCTTGAGGCTCTTACTTCTGGGCTGAGTAGGCCAGAGATGCTAAAGCCTATGCACTGCTGCCAGCACCTGTAAGCTGCTCCTATGGCTGGCTACCTCAATGGCTGCTGCAGAGGCTGGAAGGCAGGCAACTTTGCATTGGGTTTGTACAGCTCTGTGAGAGTCTGTATGTCAGAAGTCAATTCCTCTCATCTGCGCCCAGATTAAACTGTTGCCCACCCCACCCCCAGCTGGGAAACACTGGTAACGTTGTTATCCCACTAACCTTGAACAGACAGGAAGGGTGACATTACAGAAGTGGGGACGTAACAGACTTATTTCTAGACCTGCTCCAAAGCTGAAAGCTTTCAATGACACCCCCACTAAGAAAGAATTCCTGTTCCACCTACAGTAAAATAAGAGATGGACTTGCCACAGAGTTCTGCCCCCTTCAACAGTCTGGCAAATCTTGCATGCTAAGGGGGGGAACAACAGATACCAGGGACAGTAACTTCCCAGCAATGGACCCAGTATTTGTGTAGCTTCCAAGAGACTTCACGAGATCAGACAATTCACATGACCCAAGGATCTAGATCTACCAACAGCCTAATCTACCTTTCCTTGAAGTGTGTAAGGTCAGTGCCTGAATAAGAAGGTAATTTAACCTGATCTGGCTGTTCATTTGACAGTTTAACTCCTTTCCATAGTTTTGATAAACTCTTCATTTATTTTTTAAAATTTGCTATATTTCTTCTTTTACGAGAAGATACAATCCCGTGTTTATTCACGGGACTCTCAATGGTTTCCAAAGTAATTTAACATAGGGACTTATGGACAATTCTCAATTCATCAAACTACAAAAGCACACGGCTCTGCAGGACTGAAGAGCCTCACACTGAAGGTAGAAAAAAATAACTGAAGTTTTAAGCTTACAGCAGCATACATCCTCCTCAGTGATCAACTTCTGCATCTTCAAACTGCCCTGCAACCACTGGTGCTGTGTCCACCTCCATCCCATCTGAAAACAAAGCCAAGGCAATGAAATACTGCAGCACTCACAAGCTGAACACACTGTGCATAAAGTCAGTGCCCTCTGCTGGCGAGAGGTTAGTGATGCAGGAGATACTAATATTGTGTTGACCGTATTCTAGGCAAGTTGAAAACACAGCAACTCCCCAGACTATTTCACGTACTCTTAGCAATACCCCTTTTAAAAATGTCAGTCAGACAATGCTAAGTCACTAAATTGCATATTATAAAGAGACACAAGGTTGTTAAGCTGCAGTTTCTATTACTCTCCTAAGAAAGCTTTTTTCTAAAAAGCAAGAACCCTTATTTGGTTCACAGATTTGAACATTAGACCCCTGCAATTGAGATGAAGGCATGATTAGAAAGCATAACATTGCAGGTGTATATGAAGTAGGTTAGTCTCAAATAAAATGAATCTAAAGCCTGTTCTAAGAACTTCCTGACCCACACTCGTTAGTCTCCCATGTAAAGCCATCGTGTTGAGCAAAGTCAGGATTAGTCACTTTAGCTGCAGTGTCAAGAAATCTCAAAAAAATTCGGAAGATCAGCAGCCAAGGATCTATCACTGAACTAACCAACCCACTCTTCAAGAACAGAGCAACAGCCAACAAGATAGGGTGACCAGACAGCAAGTGTGAAAAATCGGGACAGGGGGTGCGGGGTAATAGGAGCCTATATAAGAAAAAGACCCCAAAATCGGGACTGTCCCTATAAAATTGGGACATCTGGTCACCCTACAACAAGATCCAGGAAGGCTACTAAGCTTGCTAAGAGTAGGTCCAAGCTGTGCCATACACGGTCCATTTTATTTCCAACATCCTGAACTTTGGGTTCAAAATCCAGACTGAACTTTGAGATGAAGGGAGATTTCACAAGAACAAATGAGATCATATAAAAACATTTTTATACAAATGTAATTTAATCCACAAACTTGTGGAACAAACACACACTAAGTTAACCTATGGAAAAATAAAGAAAATGCAGAGTTAACGCTAAAGAAAAGTCACTCAGCTGTCAATTACTGCAACACATCACATATACCTCGTTACCATACTGCTTTGCTTGGCTAGAGAAAGGATGGGCTAAAGACAAACTTTCACAGACTGGTTTAAAAGGCAATCTTAGTTACATAGGTTCAATAAATATTTAGAAACTCTAAAAATCTTACCTGAACTGGTGCAAGCCTATATTCAGACACACACACTGCACATTTCTGACCCAGGGAAAAGCAAGAGGTACTACCCTTTAAAGATTAAATGGCCAACATTTTAATAGCCCACTGCTTTTTCCCCATGTTTTCTAATATTTGTCTCCAGATTGCTACGGTTGCATTCACAAAGCGTGTAACAGTGATCAAACTACAAAATAGGTATTTTAAATGATAATGGAAATACTTACACACCAATGTAATTTTTCAAATCATGTTATTACTCACCATTTATACCGTAAAACCAACTTCTTTTTCCCAACACACGCAGAAGTTTATGATATTATTGCTCACAAGCCAATTTCACCATTGCTAGTGCCACATAAAGAAGCGTGCAGCAAGGGTCAAGAAACATTACTATACGTAGTTTGGGGGAAAGGGGCAGGTCTCACCTTCAAACTCTCTCACTGAATCTTCTGTTCGCACTCCAGCCATGTTGTACTGGCTGCTGACAGACTGAGCTAACATGCCCTCTAATCTCTCCAAAGTGGCTTGACCCTCTGCAGTTAAGTGTGACAACCCTTCTTCATAGGTGTAGAAGGAAGGGATATCGCCTTGTCCTTGTTCTGCAAAGACAAATTTGCATTTAGCAGATATGAAGTTATAAACACAGCAAGTGCCTACAAGATACTAAACCACTTTAAAAAGATATTTCCAGACGGGGTCAGGTAACACGTACTTATTTATTAACCAGGTAGGCTATTTTTAAACCAATAGTAAGAGCCAAACTGAAAAGGATTCACTAGCACTGACTACACAGCAGGATCTTTTGACAAGAACAGGCAATTTAGAAAGAAATCCATACACTATCTAAAATGCTTTTAAAAGAACTCTCTAACGAACAGCATTTTGCAATTTCATTTGCAGATCTCTAAGTGCTTCAATCAATGAGTTTCTCCTAAACGCTCCTGCAAGGCATTATAGCAGGTGACAGCCCTGCTAAGGTTCAGACCAGAGTTCTGTTTAAAGCCCAAATATTTTAAGTGCTCTAAATTCAATACAATTACTCAGATTGCCTTGAAATTTGCCCATGCCTCATGAGAGCACAGGTTTCCGTTAGTAGACCAAATCTGTGGCCATTTCACCAAGGGGTTCCCTAGATACAGGTCCCTCCCAAAATAACAGCCTTTTGAGTTGACAGATTCTGGCAACTGATTTGTGCTTACAGATAGAGATCAAACAAGGGTGCAGATCCTTACACCAGGATCTCAGACAATCAAGGGTTACCCTGGCAACTACCAGCCCATTGGGGAAAATCAAATTAAAACTTTAACTGTACTGTAGAACATCAAAACCATCTCATGCTAAATGAGATGCTAATGAAATTACTGAGCATTGGGCAGAAACTAGAAAAGGCTGGACGGCCTATTGCTAAAATCTGTCAGGGTTTCTTTTTAATTTTGGGGAAAATGTATTTTTGCAAAAAAAGAATTAGATATGCAAATGCTTGATGGCAAGGTATCCGCATTTTAGGGGGTGGTGAAGTTGAAGGATTAGGGGTGAGAAGGGTCTGACCCCCCTCTTTCAGCTCCCCGCATGGGAGCCAGGTTCTGCAGGGGGCTTGCCTTATTGGGAGGGGTCCTGAGCTCCTGCTGCCTACCCCCTCAATGTGAGCTGGGATCTGGGCCTCCCTGCATCCCAGAGTTGTGTGTGCTCCACTCCTTTCTCCCCTGTTTTGTGCCAGTATTTGGGGCATCACAGCACATCTATGAAGGTCTAACCCCCACACACCCTGCCCCATGTGAGCTGGGATCTGAGGAAGTCCTGCCTCTCTGGGTGGAGCTTAGAATGGGCATGCTCAGAACAGGCACTAAGAAGACACTGCTGAGACTGGCGTGAAGAGCTGGGAATAGGTATGCCCGATGTATCAAAAACTCTCCAGCACTAGGGAATGGGGAAAAGAACACCCACAGACATGAATGGAGCAATTCACAAGTCTCAGAGCTATTGTTTCAGGCTGTATTCAACTTCATGGGGTATTAGGCTGAGAACATCTCATGGGGGCTATTAACACTGCCCTGAGCCTGCTACTTGGGCAGAAATCGGAGAATGAAGATTTTTCCCAAATGTTCACTAAGTTTTTCTTAAATTATTATTTTGGAAAATGTAATCTGAGTACACCAGAATATTCAGAAGACGCTGAAACCATATTTGAAAAGAAAATAAATTATACACGCAAATGCTCACTGGGAGGGGAGTGGTGATTAGGGGTGCAAAAGTAGTTGGCGATATGTGAAGTGACGTTTGGGTCTGCAGCAAGGGCAGAAGATAAATGGGAATGGGTGGTAGAGGAGGGAAGAAAGCTTGGGGGACTCATCTCAGACGGAAAGGGTCAGAACATAAGAATGGTCATACTGGGTCAGACCAAAGGTCCATCTAGCCCAGTATCCCGTCTGCCGACAGTGGCCAATGCCAGTGCCCCAGAGGGAATGAACAGAACTGGTAATCATGAAGTGATCCATTCCGTGTCTCGCATTCCCAGCCTCTGGCAAACAGAGGCTAGGGACACCATCCCTGCCCATCCTGGCTAATAGCCATTGATGGACCTATCCTCCATAAATCTATCTAGGTATTAACTGGAGTGGAAGGAGAGAAGACGGGACAGGTTGGACAAATCATGCCAAACTAATCCAATTTCCTTCTTTGACAGGGTTTACTGGCCTAGCAGATGGGGGAAAGCAGTAGACATGATATATCTTTATTTTAGTAAAGCTTAAGCACAGTAGGGAAAAATGGTCTAGATGAATTTACTATAAGGTAGGTGTAAAACTGGTTGAAAGACCATACTCAGAGAGTAATCATCAATGGTTCACTGGCAAACTGGGAAGGTGTATCTAGTGTGGTAGTGCAGGGGTCAGTCTTGGGTCTGGTACTATTCAATATTTTTATTAGAGACTTGGATAACAGAGTGCAGGGTATGCCTATAAAATCTGGATGACTCCAAGCTGGGAGGGGTTGCAAGCAGTTTGGAGGACAGGATTAAAATTCAGAACCACCATGAAAAAACTGGAGACTTGGTCTGACTTCAACAAGATGAAATTCAATAAAAAATAAGTGCAAAGTACTTCACTTAGGAAGGAAAAAAATCAAATGCACAACTACAAAATGAGGAATAACTGGCTAGGGGATAGTACCACTGAAAAGGATCTGGTGGTGACAGTGGATCACAAATTGAATAGGAGTTATCAATGTGATGCAGTTGCAAAAAAGGCTAATTATCATTCTGTGGTGTATTAACAGGAGTGTCATATGTAAGAAACGGGAGGTAACTGTCTTGCTCTACTCAGCACTGGTGAGGCCCCAGCTGGACTACAGTGTCCAATTCTGGGCGCCATGCTTTAGGAAACGTGGACAAAGTGGAGAGAGTCCAGAGGAGAGCAACAAAAATAATAAAAGGTTTAGAAAACCTGACCTGTGAGGAAAGGTTAAAAAACTAGGCATGTTTAGTCTTGAAAAAAAGACTGAGGGGCTACTTCATAACAATTTTCAAATATATTAAAGGCTGTTATAAACAGGATGGTGATCAATTGTTCTCTGTGTTCACTGAAGACAGAACAAGTAATGGGCTTAATCTGCAGCAAGAGAGATTTAGGTTAGACATTAGGAAAAACTTTCTAACTATAAGGGTAGTTAAACTCTGGAATAGGCTTCCAAGGGAGGTTGTGGAATCCCCCATCAGTAGAGGTTTTTAAGAACAGGTTGGACAAACACCGTCAAGAATGGCGTAAATTTACTTGGTCCTGCCTCAGCACAGGGGTTGGACTTGATGATTTCTCTAGGTCCCTTCCAACCCTATATTTCCATGATTCTATGTAGGGTAGCAGAAATTGGGAGTTCAAGGGGGAGCTCATATCAGCAGAGTTCTCCTCTTCCATGCAGGTGTGTGTGCTGGGATCTACCCTACCCCTCTGCAGGGGTTTGAGACTTTCCTTGCCTACTACGTATTCTGGAACCTGGGACACCCTGTTCCTCTTAGGATGTCTCCATGTGAACTGGCGTTTGGTGGGGGGGAATGAAGATAACATTAAATTAGAATCCAGAAAATGAATAGTGAAGATACACTGTGGCCAGCCATCCCATCCCACACAGAAGTGATGCATGTAGGGGAGGGGAATGGTTTGGAGGTGGTGTGGACTGGGTGGACTCGAGATATGGCTGGCGAAGTCTGGCTGAAGCAGAGGCAGGAGTCCCATCTGGAGGTAGGTTAGTGGGAGTGACGGCCCAGCTCAGCATGCAGCTGGGTGTCTGGCTGGTGAGTCTTGCCCACACGCTCAGGGTTTAGCTGATTGCTATATTTGGGGTCAGGAAGGAATTTTCCTCCAGGGCAGCTTGGCAGAGGCCCTGGGGTTTTTTCGCCTTCCTCTGCAGTGTGGGGCACAGGTCACTTGCTGGAGGATTTTATGCACCTTGAAGTCTTTAAACCACGATTTGAGGACTTCAATGGCTCAAACATAGGTTAGAGGTTTGTTGCAGGAGGGGGTGGGTGAGATTCTGCGGCGATCATATTGGTCCCTTCTGACCTTAAAATCTACATAACCCAGGTAGCATGAGCCCTCCAGTAAGCTACAGCATAGGGAAGAAGATAGCAAGGAGCAACTTCTTACAGTGCAAACTAATGGCTTCATGAGAAGGGGAGGGGAATTGGAAGTGTGTGTGGGGGGACGGGGACGGGCGCTATGTGCTACACATCATGGGGAATGGTGGGGCAGGGAGTGGAGAAGGAGAGACATGCCAGTCTTCTCTCACATGCTTAAAGTTACTGTGACAACCACATAAAACACATGGTAAAAAACAAAAACACTATCTCCCCTTGGCGAACACATTTCACAAAAAGATTACTCCATATCCAACCTTTCAGTCCTTGTCCGCAAAGGAAACCTGCCAGAGGTGACTAGTGAGAGGGACACAAAGGGGGCATGTGACCTCCCCAGGTGACCCGTGCCCACCACCCATGTGACCCCCTGACGACTCACCCCCCATCCCACCCCCGGGCTCTCCCCATCCCCCATTACCTGGCGGGGGGGGGGCGACTCTGCTCCAGTCCCCCTACTATGTGGAGCCACTAATGCACATCCCAGGCAGCCTCTGGCCATGCACCAGGCAGCATGGCTGGAAGAGGAGAGGCTCTAGCGCTGCCTCTTCCCTTCATCTCCTCAGCTGCCGGCCTTGGCGGCCCCCCCCCCCATGTTGGGGAGGGTCATGTGACCCTTTGCCCCCCCCCCCCTTCCCTCCACAGGTCGCCACTGCCTGTACTACTCCTTCAAAAGATGAACTGGGGAGCTTAAATTCATAACTCTGCTAGACACTAACTATCATGGCCTTAACAAAAACATTGGTTTTATGGCTTTTTACAACATGAACATAGCAGCTCCCCTTCTTTGTCCTATCACTGCAGGGCCGCTTCACCTTGAAAGGTCCTTTAGAACGTGTTAACTACTTATGCAAAATAACCTGTTCCATCTTGCATTTAGCTGGGACACTCTGAGTACCTTTCCCAGACCTCAAGAAGAGCTCTGCGTAGCTCATAAGCTAGTCTCTTTCACCAACAGAAGTTGGTCCAATAGAAGAGATATTATCTCACCCATCTTATCTCTAACTATGTAATGAAATGGTCAAGGTTTTGGGACGCATACCATGGATGAGACTTCTCTCACTGGCCCTATTAGCAACTACACAGACATTGCAAACATTTCAAAGCATGACCACTATCTCCACTCCACTATAACAAAACATCCAGGAGGGGGAGTAGCACCGCAGAATCACATGGAAAGACCACTGGACAGGACTATCCCTAGCTCTGTCACTGGCTTGCTAAGTGACCTTGGGCAAGTCACTTCATCTCGTTGTGCCTAAGTTTCCCAACTGTAAAATAGGGATAAGGATGTGAAGCTGTTTGAGATCTACTGATGAAAGGCACTGCATAAAAGCTAGGTCTTTCGATTATTACCTAGCCACAGCTGCATACAAACTGCGAACCTTGGTGAGAACTACAATTGCCTAAATGACCACTAATGCTTACCAACAAACATTTCTTTATTTAAAAAACTAGGATGACAAAAAATTAATTAGCACAGAATTAAGGCTGCCAGTGATAGCTCATGCCCTTTCTGAAAACATTTGGATTCTAGTACAATATTTAATTACATGACCACATACTATCTCCCCTCACAAGATGCACAGGATTGACGGTGTTCAGGGAAGGAATCAGAGTTGTGTACTGAAGGAGGCTGTGGTCTGTAGGGGCCCCGCCTCCTTTGTTGCAGAAGTTGGAAGATGTGTAGTGAATGAGGCAGGGGGATTTCAGGAAGAGAGGGGATGGTCTCATGGTTAAGGCTGTTGAATCCTGTCCTGGAGAACTGGATTTTATCCCAGTTTTTGCCACAAAGTTCCTATGTGACCCAGGGAGAGTCACTTAAACCAAGCTTATAATAAACTTCAAATTGCTAGAAACTTTACAAAATAGTTAGGAATACTTCTTCCCGGTTTACAGAGGAGGAAACAGAAGTCAACTGTCCAAGGTCTCCAGGAAAACTGTGGCATAGTGGAGAACAGAACCTACCTTTCCTAATTCTAAAACCACACCCACACCCACACTCCCTGAAAGTTCCCTTTATTATTATTTCTGGACCAGACTTCAATTGGCATAATTTACATGCTTAAAATAAAGCATTTGCTCAAGTGCTTTGCTAAATCAGGGCCTTTTACCACAGACTCTTCCACAACATGGCTGGAACCACCTAGCAGTTATTGCCAAGTAGAATCCCATCCCCTAGTAAAGCAAGTTGCAGGTCATACCTCTGGAATCAGGAGGAGCCTGAATCAGAGGGGAGCCTCCAGACAGGTCAAGTAGAGAAGGCTAGTGTGGTGCTATCAAGGGACTCAGAGGGTGTGTAAACTAACAGTCCACTACATTGTGTTAAACAAAGTGATCAAGCCATAGGGTAGGTGCTGAAATCACATTAGCTCGTTGACTGGGAAGGCTGCTGTCAGTTAATGTCTTGATGCTTTGGAGAATACAGACAAGGCTGTGGTAGGATTTTTGCTGAACTCCAACTAACACTCTGTAGTCTGATTAGTGATTTTCTGCTCATTTCTGAGCTTCTATGCCCCAAAACTACAATATAAAACATTATTTAAACGTAGATGATACCAGTAACAGCCAAGGAACGTCTTTTAAAAATACACACGCACAATAGATACAATGCTTAACCTGAGAATAGCTTTCTAAGAGAGGCTCCAGGTACACAAAAGTTGGTAGGTATTTAAATGGTAGCATATCACTAACCATGGGCCTCCACGTCATACTCCTCTCCTTCGTAATCATTGTCTGAATCTTCATCTTCAGGGTCTGGGTGTAGGGCTTGGCATTCACACATTGCTGAAAACATAGCTTCCACTGTAAAAACAAACCACACAGAATTCTCCCATTGGTGAATGCACAAAACAGCTCTAGAGAGAGACTCCAAGGCCAGAAGGGACCATTGTGATCATGTAGTCTGACCTGTGTAACACTGTGGAAGCAGAGAAAGAACTGACAGGAAGGGGATGCAACGCATGACAGTTCATTAGCAAGAGTTAGGCTAACTGTAACCCTAATAACGCGAGATTTGTAGAAGCGAGGAATGTGTGAGGCGAGTGGGAAAGAACTGTGTGAGAAGTTGTTGCGACCTTGTGTAGATAATATGGAATGTAGACTAAGAGTCTACATTAGTGAGCAAAACAAGATATCAGAATGACCTATGTATAAACAAAATGCAGCTGTTGCTCATTATTGTCTGTAACAAAAGGTATAAATGCTTGCTGTAATTGTTTACCTGTTGAGAGACCTGTTTAGTTCTCTCCCTCTATGCAATTGATAGAGAGATAATAAAGTATCTGATTTGCTGTACCCAAACAAAAAGTGAGAACTCTGTTATTCTCTGACAATCTGGGGGCTCGTCCGGGATGGCAACGCCCGCAGAGGTACCGGCAGCTGCTACGGATCATTCCCCTTCGAACCCCATGGCGCCACAACAGAGGTAAGAGATCTTTTGATATCTCTATTGGGGTGTCGGAGGAGGACTGTCCATGGGGCCGTCTGTCCCTGTTGGGCTCACGCCATCCGAACGTATTGACTGTGCAGCAAGGTCAGATGCAGAGCGGCTTAGGGGAATTGTTTGCTGCCCCCTGTATGCATATGCGAGGTGCATAGGTACACACCGGAGCTGAGGGGTTGTTACCGCCTCGAGTGATGCATCGAGGTACGTGGGAATAGTACCTGGAATAGAGGGGTGTGTGTGTGTGTGTGAGTGTGAGAGAGACCGGAAGACGCCCAGAGTACTTTGCGAAGTCTTTTGGCTTGTGATCAGAACTACTCTAACGCAAGCCCGGTAACTAGAGAATCTTTTAGGAGATCCGACCCACAGTGGGCTAACAGAAAAAGAGAAAGTTAATCTGCGTTCAAGGTCAAGGATCAATGCAGACCAGGCTAAGCACAAAGAAAAACGGCCCCAGCTGGCTGTGAAAAAATATAGACATAGTCAAACCAAAAGCAATACAAGTTACAGTGCTGAGATTACATTTGCAAAGCTTAACTGTCCAGTGAGATCCAACAGTCTGCCTTTGCAACCCTGGAGCCGGCGTGGTTTGGGGACGCTGAAGAAGCCACAGGCAATTGGCCTGGACTGGAATCACTGAAAAGACGCCCCAGGAGACTTCAGGGCATAAAAGAACTGCCCTCCCAAGAGAGGAAGCAAGTTGGAAATTGTACCGAGTGGACTCCTCAAAAGTGGGTGTGCTTGTCCTGGTTTGTTGCTCCAAAGCTCTGTAATAAAGTTATTTTACTGGAAGGGTGTACATGGCATACATTGAATAATAAGACTAATGTACTGTATAATGGCAATGTGTATGTGTTCATTGTTGGGAAAAGGTGTATTAGTGAAGAGTGGAAGTTTCCTGTGTCGGTTAAAAGAAGCCAAGAAGGGGAAAAGGAAAAAGAACAGAACGAGTTAACTGAAAAAAAAATAACAAGCAAGCTCCGTCCAAAGATAAGATGCTGGCCCCATCCAAGGGCACTGCCCACAGCTAAGACTTGGCTGACAGCCAAACAAAGGGGGGCTTGAATGTGCCCAAGCAACTATGAGATCTGCAAAACACTGCCAGGCATTAATGAAATGTGTTTAGGTTTCTTTTCTCACAGATAAAAGAAGTGCTACCCAAAGACCCTAGCAGCCCTGCCATTCATTGAAACAAGGAGACTGAGTCTAAGTAAAGTCCATCAACGAAAAACTGCTTTGGCTCCACACTGGAAAGGCCCTTTCCAAGTCCTGTTAACCACCAACACCGCTGTGAAGTGCCAAGGACTACCTGCCTGGACCCATGCTTCTCACTGTAAAAAGACCCCTCCACCTCGGGACTCTCCGACTGATGATAAGCCTATTTCTCCTTCTAGCTCTGCTGTGCCTTCTGGACAGCAGGAAAAAGAAAAAAAAAGACAAGGTGAAGCGCTAGTAACCTCTCCCTTGTCCACTGACAGACCTACTGTGCCTTTGGGTTTTTCTAGAAGAAGCAAAACCATTATAGGGTGATGTGCTAGTAACCTCTCCCCTGTATGATGCTAAACCACACTGTTTCAGGAAAAGAGAAGAAGGAACATTTGCTTCATTGAAACCACAAAGTCCAGGGATTCCTGACTACAAGAGACATTAAGAACTGACCCTGGTGAAGAAACTTGTGGGACCCATGCTTGGGAACGTGGTATTGATTGGATTTTGGGGTTTATTCTACAGGCTGCACCCTGTGTTTTGGATAAGTCCTTCAGCATGTATTACCCTCCCTAATTGGATTTTAAATGATAAGTACCAAAGGCACCTTGTTGCCATTGCCCCTGCCATCTCCTCCATTATACTATTACCCCTGTAACACATCCAAATACAGACAATGTCATATTTGATAAAACCAATGACGAAGGCCTTCACACTTTAGTGATTTATTTAAATATTGTTTGAAAAAAAATATTTTTAAGGTTCAGGATATCCCAAATAAGCGAACAATTGAATGGATCAGTGGAGATAAAAGTATATGATATCACTACCAGTGAACCCCAAGAATCTGTAATTGCAATTGATGGGTTCTATAGCGAATGTTCCTGGAATTTGCACTGTGTTAAATGCGAGAGGCCCTTATTGTTATTTGATCACCCAATTAGTGAACAATTAAACGAATACCCAGAGTTTGTTTTGCCACTGGAAATTTTACCTGCATAGAAATTATTCCAGTGACTAATAATGTGACCTGTACCTTATTGCAATACACCCCTTCTTATGCCATTAATATCAATGCCTCCTGGAAATACATAAAGGTGTTCAACCAACAGATGTGGTATAGTACTACACCAAAGAGAGATGTATTAGGATATCAATGGACTGTGATTAACACTACACTAGGGACTGTTAAATTTTCATTGCCCTTATCCAGTTTCCAGATTACCTCTACATACCCATATTGCTCACAGGGGGCTGCCATTAGATTAGCACAACAGAGGGCTTGGGTTATTTCTTCTAGAAAGAAGAGAGACTTGACCGGATCCCTATGGGATGGGGCCAATAGTGCAGCAGCAGTTTGGAATATTTTTAAGAACCAAGAACATGATGAGAAATTGGGATAACTAGAGAAGGCCATTGGCCTTGTTTCTGGAGCACAACTAACCCAGGTACAGGCTGGAGTTGGTGAGTTACATGTTATTTCCGCCCCATGTTCTATGACCCAGAAGTTACTGACAGAGATGGTATTGAATATCACTGAGGCTGGGAAGGCATTGCAGTGGGACCTAGCATGTTCAGAAATTCAGGATTTCCTGAATGACCAGCTAATGGCCATTCGGAATGATCTAGAGTATCAGGCTTGGCCCACTGCCCTTACAGACACATCAGGAGTACCATCTGATCTGTGGCCACAGAGACATACTTGGAGACTTTCTGGGTGGAAGTGCAGACGTTCTCAGTGCTCCTTCCAAGCATATGGACTGGTTGCGGGGGGGTGTGGGCTCCCACATACCGAATCCTGCCGGGTCCATGGGGAGGATGCATGTGGGATTGGGTAATTCACCGAGACATCTGGGAAATTAGACTTCCTGGTATGCCCAATCGATTTCTAGTCAGTGCTCCTGGGATTACATCTGACATTTGGATGGGGTTAGGGAGTCAATGGACGTTAGAACCCCCACAGCTTCAGTGTATCCGTAAACTGAAGCCAGGAGCAGTTGTTACTCTTCATGACTACGTTTGCTGGGAGGGTAGGGGACAAGGAACTACCCTAACAGGACACTTACTTTTTTCAAGCTAATGATAGCTGTGTGTATGTTAAAGCCACCACATTGCAAAACATACATTTTAATCTCATTACCACTGCAGGCAATCATATTATTTACTGGCCTGCAGCTAGAATTCTGCAAGTAGTCCTTAGGTTCCAGATACCCTTTAATTGGACTAGTTTAGTACCTGATCGATTTCAAAATTTGCCTTTCAGACAGCTTATAGAGTATCCACCTTATGTACTAAGTATGATGTATTGTGTTATATGACTAAGATTGTACAACAACCCCATCGTATTATCGCTATGGGAATGTTATTGCTTGTGTTGTTGTTCGCTAGTATAGGAGT